AGGACCAGCCACGTGTGTGGCCAGCGGGTCCCCCCCCATCAGCTACCGCTGGTTCAGGAGCGCCCCGGGAGGGAAAGCCCTGCTCCTGAGCAGCCAGGCCGAGCTAAGGTGGGACAGCCTGCAGCCCTCCGACGCCGGGAAGTACTACTGCGAGGCAGCGAACAGGGCTGGGGCCGGGGCTGCGCAGCGGAGCGACGCCGTGGAGCTGACGGTGCGAGGTGAGTCCCCAGAGCTGCAGCTGGGTGGAGGGCACCTGGAGTCCTTCCGTGCTGGAATGGAACAATGTCCCTACTTCCCTCCTCCGAAAAAAGAAAACGCAAAAAAACTTGGTCTTCTGCTTTCCAAAGCACTTCTCATCACTGGCTCTGCCTTTTGGTCCTTGATTTCCTGTATTCAATTTCCCCCCTCCTCTTCAGAGGAACTGCTCTTTCCTGATGCAGAAGAGGTTCTGTATTTATTTATATTTATTTAATTTTATTTATTCCTCTTTGGCTTTTTTGAACTTCTTGCTGGCTGGGTAATGCTGCCTATCTCAGTGTGTTATGAAGGCAAGAGCAGAGCAGGCTTAGGCGAGGAATCGCATACTTGGAGTATCAGGGACATGAGTGCAACTCGGTAGGTGTACCCAGGCTCTGCAAGACGTCCGCAGGGGGCGTTGAGTTTGTTCCCGGGGAGGCCGTGTCTCTGTATGAAGGACACTGTATGTCTCTTGGGGCTGCTAGAAACACTACTTCCCACCTCGCAGACCATATAGGATATTCATGGTTCTGTTCTTTTTTTAAAGGGCTTTTTTCTTGTTTTCTGGTCTCGAGGGCCTGTGGGTTTCCAGTTTGGTTTTGTGGGAATTCAGACCTGGGCCAGAGGAGGTCTGCCTGTGGAACCTTTGTATTTTTGGGTTAGGTTTCATCTGAATTTATAGCGCCCCGCCAACGGTGCAGCAGGTCGTGGGCATCTGCATCCGTGACCAGAAGCTAAGGGACGATGTTGACCATCGTTGGCTCTTCTTACAGAAAGAAACCAAACAGAGCTGGTGTTCAGCAGTACCTCAGTAATGTCTTGGACTCCCTGGGACTCCACCACCGCTACAGGTGTGTGTAGGCACGCATACATAAACATGTATGTACATGCATACATGTGTATGTGCTGGTTTGGCTGAGGTAGAGTTAATTTTCTCCACAGCAGCTGGTACCAGGCTGCGTTTTGGATTTGTGCTGGAAACAGTGTTGATCACGCCGGGATGTGTTTGTTAAAAAAAAACCCTGGAGCCAAGGCCGTTTCTGCCTCCCACCCCACCAGTGAGTGGCTGGGGGGCACGGCCGGGACAGCTGACCCCGACTGACCCCAGGGGTACCCCACGCCGTACAGCGTTGTGCTCAGCACACGGAGCTGGGGGAAGGAGGAGGAGTGGGGGGGACGTTGGGAGCGATGGCGTTTGCCTGCCCAAGTCACCGTTACGCGGGATGGAGCCCGGCTGCCCTGGGGGTGGCTGAGCACCCCCTGCCATGGGAAGCAGGGAAGGAATCCCTCGCTTTGCTTGCGCACACGGCTTTTGCTTTCCCCGCTCAACTGCCTTTAGCTCAGCCCAGGAGTCTTCTCACTCGTACCCTTCCGATCCTCTCCCCCATCCCACCGGGGGGTGAGCGAGCGGCTTCATGGGGGCTGAGCTGCCAGCTGGGGTTAAACCATGGCAATATAGTTAGTGTATATACAGTGTGTAGATACTATGTATAGTATATCTATCCAGGGTGTATATAGAGTGTGTAGATACTATGTATAGTGTATCTATCCAGGGTGTATATATAGTGTGTAGATATTAACTATGCATTACAGTGTATATATAGCACTAAGCTCTAGAGTTTGCCTATTTTCACTGCCTTGTACAGACGACGGAGACATTCTCTTTTGGTCCTACAGCTGTAACCCCAGATCTCTTGCTGTAACCCCAGATCTCCTGGTGCTAAAATGAGGTTTGGAAATGCCCTGTGAGCCTTTTACTCCCGCTTGCTTTGCAGGTCTGCCCGTAACAGCGGTGACTTCTGCGAACGATGTGGGATGCCCAGAACAGAACTGTACAACTCCGAGTAAGTGGAGAGCAAAACAAAGCAAACGGTGAGGTCGGGGACACGAACCGGCCGTGCAGTAGCCAGTACCTTCAGCGCAAAATCAGTGTTCTGCCTTTTGCCTGCAAATTCTGTTAATGGCTGTGAACAGGGGACCTGGATGATTCATGGTGACTCTTTAAAAGATACCGTATGTTTTATGGGGTAAAAAAAAAAGCTTTTGTAGTTGGAGCCTACAGAGTTGTTGCTCTGTTCCGTTTTGATTGCTTCCCTGAGTGTCAAAGCTGGAGCAGCAGAAAAGCCTCAGCGTGCAACTCGAGCAGGTTGTCTGTACCTCCTCGAGCTTTGCAGTGCCGTGGCAGGTTTAGACCCCTTCCAAATAACCCGAATGGTGTCCTTGAACGAGAAAATGAGACCCTTTGTTTCCTGACGGGTAGTCCCGCTATTCCAGTGCGTGCACAGCCCCGGTCAGCCTCAGCTCTCCGCCACCATCTCCGTGGCCGTGGGCTCCTGGCGAGCAGCCTGGCTGGCTCACGCGAAGGCGCCCGTTCAGAGCCACGCGAGCACGGCGCTGTTGGGGTGGGGACGAGCAGGGACGTACGCGTGCAGGACAGCCCTGCGCACCCACGACGGGGCCGGCTGCTGGCGGCCTCGGG